CACTTCTAGAAATGCAATTCATCACATTTTAGAGTATATCGCTTTGTAAAAGCATCGAAAGACCGTTTTATGCGCTTGCGATCAAATCCACCACCCACGGCAAACTACATCACCTCCGCTGGAAGACCAGCTCGGCCTCCCTGACCACGTCTCGTTGCTTATCCTCGGCATTGGCGCTCACGTTGGCCACGACCATATATTCTTGTCGTGCACACAGATCTGCTTCACGTTGGCGCCTTCATGGCGCCAACGCGCGCCTGCATATGGGTGTTGCTGCGTGCTGCTCATGAACTCCATGACGAACTCCATCTTGGCCACAGCATCCGAACTCACGTCGCTGACGGAAACGTGACCTCGCCGCTTGGAGACAACTTGTCACGTCCCGATCTGGTTTGGTGTGAATAACCAGTCGACGACCAGGTTTTTGTGGTTGCACTGGTTTTTCCACCTGGTCTAACCATGGCTTTTGAAAAACCACCAAAAACCAAAACCAACAACCTGCCAACACTGTCAGACAATACATGTATAATTACTATATATTAAATATATAATAATAATACATGTATTGTCAGATCTGTTTACAAGTAGCAAGAGTACAGGTGTAATTACTGCGTTCCATCATCATCAATGCAACGTCACGATGGTAAACACATTTTGGCCTTAAAATGTTAGCTACTTTTTTATTTTTAAAATAAAGCCATGTACTGTAAAGGCTTTTCTTTTGCTCTGATTTGTGGCTGGCTCAAGTTTAGTTTGGTTCTTGCGCGGAATTGACCAGAGGAACTTGTGCTATGTGAAGTTGTAAGCATTATATAACGTATGATATCAAGTTCTCTTTTAGCTCCAAACTAGTAGATGTTGTAGAGCAGATCGGTATATTCACTCGTAGCTATACTATAATTAGATTGTAGTGTATCCGGCTAACTTGTATAAAAACTACAGTCCGTGCTACGGTGGCTTGACTTGGGCTGCCACGAGTTGGGATGAAGTCGAAGGTTGCAGCTGCCTTCCGGGGGCATGCGTATCTCGGGTTTTACTGGTTTGGCAGTCTTCCGTGATGAAGTTTGCCAGTATAACACTGGGTTAGAGTGACTATGGTGCGTAAGTACTAGTATTTATTAACCCATCTCCACTTCGCAGCCGCTGCATCTGCGCATATGAGCCGTCACCATGGCTTTTTCTTTATACAAAACAACATAGAAATCTAAAAAGCGATCGTAATGAAGCCAGGCCTTTAGCACATGATAGTATTGTGCTTTGCAGACGTTTTGGCATATCATAATTAGATTTTAAATATATTTATATAGCGAAGGTGGTGGATTTGATCGCAAGCGCATAAAACGGTCTTTCGATGCTTTTACAAAGCGATATACTCTAAAATGTGATGAATTGCATTTCTAGAAGTGCAAAAACGACAGATTTAGCGCAATTCTATCCCGTGGCTAGCTCGTCTGTTTGCTATACTTCTCTTCCATAATGAACTGGCTAGCCATGTAGCCGGCAATTTGCACAACTAAGAGCAAACACGATGACTTACATCGTCGATTTTTGCTGGAGGCCATCTTTCTGCTGCATGTGTAGGAGATCAGTGTTGGGTACATAAGCTTCATATTTGGTCCAAAAGTGCGGACGCTGCAGCGCTGGTACAATCTCTTTCTGTCACCCGGGTTGTCGATGAGAAGAAATAGCGCAATAAAACGTCTCAGTGGCCATCGGAGGATGTCTCTCGCGTTAGGCAGAACGTGAAAGAGAATCCAACATTTTATTTAGAAGAACTTCAGACGTTTTTGAGCGATACATATCCAGATCTAGTGAATGTTTCTACTAGTTCGATCTGTAGGGCGCTCAACTTTGATATAAAGAGGTGAGCATTTTATTTCTTGAGGTTGGACGCAATTTAAAATTCTGACACTAAACTTTGATTGAATGTTGCTGTGTGTGTGTGTTTTTTTTTAATATATATTTAAATGCTTAAGGCGATTCACGAAATCGGTGCAAGACTACTCTTTCTACCCCCGTATGCGCCACATCTCAATCCAATCGAGATTTGTTTTGGTCTTCTAAAAAAATGGATTCAGAAGCACGCCAATCTCGTATTTCCACTCTATCCTGACCGCGTACTAGACGTCGCGATGCGTGCATGCTGTTCGCAAACATCAAAGGATAGTAATAAAACCCCGGGTGTCTTAAGCCTTTAGCGCACTGTGGATATATTACATTGCACAGTGGTAAAATTACTGTACAGACCTACGAAGAAGAAGTAGGAGATGGTGAAGAATAGTACAGAGACGACGTAGGCAAATACGAAGAACTTCGATCATGCATTTATTGAGCTTATGGAAATTTACTCTCGTAGTGTTGTCCTGGTTCACCGTGTTGCATGTGTTCGAATCGGGAATGTCTTCTCCACCTGGCTCGGCAAAATGTGGTGTGTATCATGAAAAATACCGTTAGTGAAAATGCCGTGCTGAGGGAGACGAAGTGCACCTCGCAGTGATGAAATACGAATGGATATCTTAACCCACGCCCCAAAGATCAGCACCTCGAGCTCTGCATAGTCTGACTGAGTTGAAGGTTGCCCTTGTTGCTCATCTAGACGTGCCATTTTGGCGTCGAGAGCTTGTGCTTGCTTCGTAGTATTGTCGTCAGGAATAGTGAATGGTGCGTCATCAAGTTGACGGGCGTGGTGGACAACAACACGATGGGCGGTGATCAATCCAAGTGAAATTCCTTGCTCTTCCTGCGTTGTAGTGACTGCAGCTACTGCACGAGCCATTCGAGCTGCAGTCGCTCTGTACATTGTTGTTTTTTGTGCCTCTAATGTAACGCATCCGCGTTGATTGTATTATTTAAATCTTTAGGATTATGGTACGGTTTACGGGACGAGTTACAAGTTAGTTTACGGGACGTTCGTAAACTAATTTACTTTTAGCAATGAGTGGTTAGTAGATAGTCTAGACACAAAAGAGTGCAGACTGTTAATTTACTAGTATCACTTTCCAATTTGCATCCTGCAACACAAGCTTCCTCTACGTTACATCTAAGTACACGAAAAATTCAAAAGAAATACTTCTGCTGATTTTTTTTAGCGTTAGACGGACGCTTCCAAAAGCAATTGAGTCTTGTCGGATCCGGCTAGGCACAACCGAAGCATGCCCCCAAGTAAAAAAAAAATTCCACCACCTAGGGCTCGATAGTCTATCTGTCTGGCCGATTTTGTCTGCTTAACCCCCACTGTTACCACCGTCATAAGTTATGACGTAGTCCAAATTTTAAGTCGTAACTTACGACATAGTTTTTCTTCATATAGGAGTTGGCTCGGAAACGGCGACCCGATACTGAAATCAAGTCAAATTTGGGGCCGATCGGATATAAGGCTGGAGAGTTTTTTTGCTGCACACACAAAGCCAGCACGAGGGAAAGGGTTCAAGTGCACCTTTCTCTCTGTCAGGCATGATCCGCCACTGCCATCATTTGATGAGTGGCCAGAAGTCTTCGGGCATTCTCAGCCATTCGAGATTTTGCCGGCTGAGACGCAAGTAAAATGCTGGTCCGTGTGAGCGCGAGGACCAAAGCTGCGGCTCAAGCGTCGGTGTCAGCGTCCGCCCTGGATCTGCGCCTGGTAGACTTCGGCCACCTGTGGCGCCAGCTCAAGGCCGCGGGGTGGCGGTCGAAGCCTCCCACCGGACTGTCAAAATATTGGGCGTACATCAGGCCGTCGAGCGAGGTTCCTGCAGAAGGCGAGATTGTGTTCTACGGTATGTTGTGTTGTTGCTGTATTACTTTGCGTCATTTCTAACTTGGTGTGGTAGGTGAGAAAGCGGTTGTGGAGCACGCGATCGCAACCGGACTGATTCAGGATGACGAGAATAATAGCAGTGGCGAGGAGAGTGGAGATGGCGGTGAGGGCGAGAGCGGTGGGGGCGGTGAAGCTGAGAGCGGTGGGGGCGACAGAGGCGACGGAGAGATGGTGCGAGCGTCGCAGATTGACTGCAATGTGGCCCTCTCGGCCAACACAGTCGATGCGCTGTTCGGAAGTAACAGCGAGGACGATGGAACACCTGCGTTGTCGCAGAACGCGGTTGGGAGAGCTTTCGGGCTATCCCCGCTACGCGCTGACGCGGTGCATGACTCAGACCAGAGTGTCGTGATCGGAGCTTTCCAGCGGCTGCTCTCGGAGACGGAGCCGGACCAAGACTCTGAAGACGACTCGGTGAAGGAGCTGAGGGACGCTAGCGAGGGTGGCGACGCTGGAGGACCAGTTGGACCACGTGATCCAGCTGATGTAAACTTCATGAAGCCTGGAGACCTTGGAGAGAAGTACGAGAGTCTGAGTTCAGGCTCCGACTACGGCCAGTTTCTGACGACGACGACGTGGAGCCTCTCCGTCCTGAGCCAGACGAGGACGGGTTATCGGACGACGAGGATTCGCCTCACATGGATGCCGCTTTCATTGAGGCCCTGGGTGGCACCTTGTCCATCGAGCAGATGAACCAGGAAGCGCTGCGAGACTTGGCCTGGAGCGCGCCTTCGACAGCTTTTGAGGACGATGGGTCGTGCTTTCGCGGGTTGGTGCAGGAGACCGCCCATACAATACCTGAACTTTGCTCGAAGAAAGAATCACCTCTTGAATTACTGTTCTATGTCCTACCGAAGAGCCTGTGGATGCGGATCACCAAAGAGACGAACCGCATGAAAGGCAGACGGTGAACCATCGAGCGCGTCATGAACGAGCGAGGACGTCCAGAACGGAGAACATGCATACCCTTCGTGAACTTCGACGTCGTATTCGTGGGGAGAACGACTACTCACCACGCGAGATTTTGCGCGTTATTGGGCTTCTCGTGGCTCATATGTTAAACCCCACCCGACGCTTTTCGCAGCACTGGGCAATGACTGACGATGGTGCTTTGAGTGCAGGTGCTTTCGGCAAGTACATGAACCGGAACCGCTGCAAGTCGATCCTGCGCGATCTACACTTCACAAAAAATGACAACCCGAACTGTCAAGACAAGCTGTGGAAGATCCGTGACGTTGTTGATGTACTGCAGGAACGGTTCCTGAGCGCGTGGACGCCGCCGAACATCATCTCGTTTGACGAAGGCGTCTTGCCGGCGACATCCAGACGCAACACGACCAGGATGTTCATGCCAGACAAGCCTCACCGCTACGGGACCAAGATGTATATGACATGAGACTCGTTGACTGAGTACTGCCACCGGTGAGTGGCGAATGTTTTTTTTGTTGATTTGCTAAGGCATAAGTTATGACTTAATGGTTCTGGCCGTGCTCTCAATGTCGTATCTTACAGGTTTGAAATCTACGTCAGAAAACACCAAGCCAGCGAGTCCGCTGCGCAGGCATTTGACCATAAGACGGGTGCTGCGGCAGTCATCCGCAACCTGAGCACTGTTCTGGCCGGGCATCGTGGCTTCCGGGTTGTGGTCATCGACCGCTTCTATTCGTCCGTAGCTCTCGCCATCCAGCTTCTCTCTATGTCAATCTACGTGTTCGGGACGATCATGACGAACCACCTGGGCTTCAACCGCGAGGTCGTAGCGGCGCATAAGACGCGACCAAGGTGCATCGAGCGTGGATCCTTCAAGTTCGCAAGAACGACGACGGTGCCGACCATGGTTTGGTGCCTCCGGTGGGACCGAAAGCCGGTCCACTACCTCGCGACCGTTGTGTCCATGGCAGGGACAGGATCCAGCGGAACCTGAAGGGGCTCGGGACTTCTATGTTCAAGTGCCCGAGGCTGGTGACGGATTACCAGCGCTGGCTGGGAGGGGTCGACGTGCATGACCAGCTCCGCCTCCAGTCCTCCTCCATCCAGCTCTCCTTCAGGTTCCGGAAGTACTAGAAGCGTATTTTTCTCGGACTGCTGGACCTGTCGCTCGTCAACGCGTACCTCACGCATAAGGAGGCGAGCCGGCTAGCCGGAGAGACGCCCATGAAGTGATACGAGTGGTCGAGCATGCTGCACAAGCAGTTGCTACAGCCCAAAGACGAAGGCTTCCTCGCAGCCCCCCCCCCCCGTCGCCAGCACGCAAGCGACGGCGCCCTGCATCCTCCGGGCACACTCTCGTGCAGTTCGACGACTGGGTGACTGTGAGGGGCGGCATCCAGAAGAGGCGTCAACGGTCGTGCAAGGTGTTTGCTGTATCGAGGCGAGCTCAAAACGTCGTTCCAGACGACCTACTACAGCCCGGACTGCTCCAACGGCGACGCCAAGTTCTACCTGTGTGGCAAGGCGCGCAGAGGTGGCGACAAGACTTGCTTCCAAGTGTGGCACGAGGACTTCGCGTGCGGTGACAAGATCCCTGCGCACCTAGGGAAGCGTGTCGTGCTGCGGCGCGCTCCCAAGGCCGTAGGTGACCGCAAGAAAACACGGTGGGAGATTCTCCGCGAAGACGACGGGAGTGCTGCTGATGAGGCTGAATCGTGAATCCGAAGGAGTGCCAGACGATGAGTGTGTTCATGGCTTCATAAATTTGACGTCATTTATCATGTGCGCTGTGTCTGTTCCACTTTTATCATGTCAGTCATCGAAAACTTCTGCTCTATGTGTGCAATCGCTTGCGTTTTCCCGCATAACTTTTTCTGTTCACTCTTAAAAAGGCGTAAGTATCGGTGTCCATGTCGATTGGGTCATCCTTATGTCGTATGATATACGACATACCGTGTCAAAACCTTTGAGAATGTATACCTCCCATCCTGTTGGAAAGGCGTGCGAAGATACAGCACCATACAAACGCGCAGGTAAAAACTAAACCGTAAGTTATGACGTAAAATTAGTGGTTCACGGGCTCATTGGCGGTAACAGGGGGGGGGGGGGGGGTAATAAAGATGGCTCTGTTTTCTGTGATCTTGGCATAGCGCCACGTGTCATCGGTGTTCAAACACTGCAGCACTTTGGTCTTGAAAACGGCAATGCCTTCATCGGGGATAAACGTGATTACGCGTTGCTTTCCATTACGTGGCGCAGCGCTTCGCTCGATGACACGAACAGTAAGTACACCGGGCAGGGTAAGACTCAACTCCATATCGCACACAAAACTTACTAGCAGTCGATCTGTCCTTTGAATGCGTCTTATATTAGAGTTCTTGCCAGAAAATAAAGCCTTTCGACCGCAGGTTTCCGACGTTTTCAACAACGTATCCGGTGGTGTAGTAGGTGTCGTGAAACTTTGGCGTTTTATCATCCCTTGCATATATTCAGCTCTTTAAAACATTTGAGATCTTTGTGGTCGTCCCAAGGAAAAATAGCCAAAATTCCCAATGTGGTGGTACGATAAGAAGAAAAAAAAGCGTGTCTCTTTTCTTAGGCGGCTTGACCAGCTTGTCAGCGTCCAAAATCTAGACTCCAGATGCAACAAGATTGTTCCTAGTGTATCATATTGGCAACTATTGCCTCAGTCTTGAAAGTATCGATGGGGATCCTTAGACCCAATGAGTCTCGTCTGGCACACAGATTTGTATCACGGACGTGACAGTGTAACACGAACAGGTCTGCTTCCGTGCAGATAGCTACGAAACGGTCCCGCGAAGATGCAAAGCCTTACCACAAAATCTGATCTCGCCGGAGTCTGGCTGAGAAGGGGGGGGGCTGCAGATCACTTTGCACATTGATCGCGGGGTCAATTTACTTGTAAAGGCTTCATGCTAAAACGCCATGGGTAAATGCACGAAGATATACGAAATTTCTAGAAACTGTCCCTCCTAATCATCCCGAGCAGTCAAAAATACAAATAGGGACAGCGCGAAAAATTAGAAATCTCTTCTCGTTCGAAGCCGTTAATATCAAGTCAGAGATAAAAAGCTTTCTCGCCTTTCACAATGACATCGTGTCGAAAGATAAAGATTGGTAAGCAAAATCATTATATTTCAATTCTTTAGGCAAGACAAGTTAAGCCCTGTCAATTTTACGTCAGATTGACCAACTACACCTGACTCAGTTTAAAAATTGCTACAGTCCGCTAAAATTGATGAGTTGGTTGGAACCATTTCCCTTGATGTTGTTTATATTGAGCCAGCCACTTTTTCGCTTGTAAGTCTTGCAAATCTTTCATAAGTTTCTTACTAACTTGGACGGCGCTGCTCTTTGCATTTTCGCGCCAAGTAGCTACGTAGATAAGTAAATTTGAAAGTCACCTGCAATATACAGGTAGTTTAAGAAGAAGCAGAGCATCGGCTTAAATCAGCTCGAATCTACGACTGAGGCGGAGCAGGCAGAAATTGCAGAAAATCTCACTCGGCTCCAGCTGTCTGAGAGTAGAGAAACCGTCGAATGCGGCCGTCCCAACCGATGCGGCCGCATGGGACATAACCATGTGATGCGGCGCGGTGCGGTGCGGCCGAGCTGAGACCACTCTATTTGACTAGCAATGTAGGACGCATGGGGATCGTTGTTTGTCAAAACAAGCATTTTCGCGAGTCCTGCATCATCATACCGGGCCTTTAGTGTCAACAGCAGCAAGTCGTATGGGTCCATGTCGTCGTCCATCTTCTTCACATAGTCTGCCCGCGTCCTCAACGTTCGCGTTTTCAGAAGATTTTCACCTGCTGCATCAAGTTTTAGAAGCTTGTACACGTCGTCCAGAGCTTTCCATCAGCTTTCCACTTTCCAGCTGTACATTTTCCAGCCTAGTAGCTCTCCGTTCTGTTCCTATCCACAACTTTGCATCAGCCAGCATGCGTACGAAGGGTTCACCGCCATAGTGTGCCACCAGCGTCGTAAACATCGCTGTGTAGGCGGCTTCATCGTTGTTCTTGTAGGCTAAGGTTACACCATAGACCCACTTTCTGAATGTCGTACTTTCGAATAGATTCGACTCCACTTGATCAACCTTGTATTCAATGTAGCGCATGTTAGTGGTGTACTGGTTATTGGATGTTAGTTTGTTCTTTGCGGTCTCTGCGAGTTTCTGTAAGTTCTTCTTTCCGACATCTGCTATCTTCGAAATGCCAGGGATAATTCTGTCTTCGTAGTTGTTGGTGACGTCGCTTATCGTCGTCGATAGGCTCGGATGTCACTCAAACTCACGTCAGAAGTATCGCTTGGCGTCGTCAAACCGACGCTAGTCGACAGCGAGTTAACAGTCTCCGACGTCACAACGACGTAGACCAGTAAAGTAGCATGTACGGCAATGGGCATACTTGATACGTTTGGTCTTGGCAAACATCTTGCTGAGGAATCGATGGCGAATTGCGAAGTGGGCACTTCAGCTAAGCTACTGCTTCTTTATCCTTTATCAGACTCTACACTGAGGACGCTAAATGAAGCAGGTTACTGATGCTAGACGAGCCAGAAGATCCCTATATTCATCAGTTCAGCATTCAAAGTAATACGTCATGTATTACTGCGAATGCCGAACGTATTCTAGATCTATGCTGCTTCGATTTTCCTGTAAAAATCAGTGTAGTTGAGAATAACCTTCAGGTTCTGCCAGTCGTCGGTTGTTCCCATCAGAGCAACGACAAATTGTGGATTCAGTTTCTTAGCCAACCAGTGCTTGAATAGCAGTTCCTGCAAATCACTGGCCAGTGTTTTCATCTCGCCGGTACCATTCTTCATTGCAGCAACGATCATTCTCGCCAACTCCATGCTCGTGTATCTCTTCTCCAGTTCCATGATGACTCGAAGTTCACCTGGTTTCGACTGATCAAGTTTTCCCAGCTTAGTCACATACGAGACCCACGTGCTTAACGCTGGGTTCTCAAGCAATTTGTAGCTCTCTTCGTTCAGCTTTAAGAGTCTGAAAATATCGTCCGAGGTTTTTCCTTCAGCACGCCAAACTTCCTCTTGTAATTTGGCTGCGATTTGCTTCGATCGTGGACTTTCCTTTGCCTTAACAATCATACTCACCACACCGTCGTCGCCAAAGTGGTTTTTCAGTACCAAATACATTTGCTCGTCGGGGTTTTCCTTGTCAAGTTTCCTTATATAGGAAGTCCATGTGTTCCATGCCAAACTCGTGAAAATCTCATCCCCTGCCTTGCTCAGTTGTACAAGCTCGAAGACATCATCCGCTGTTTTCCCCTCCGACACCCAACTTGTAAGGAGTGCGTTCTCCAGTGTGGTGCCAGTTGATCTTGTGCTGCCTTCATTCTTTGCTGCAATGGCCATCTTGGCCAGAACATCATCCTCGAAACGCTTTCTCAGTACCGCTGTAACCGCGTCCGAATTATCCACGTAAGAAATCCAGGTATTGAAAATCGGGTTTTTCAAGAGATCACTTCCCTCTTGGTCCAATTTGAGCGATTTAAACATAACTTCCGCACTTTTTCCCTTGCTCTTCCAAGTGACAAACTGCAAAGCCTCCAGTTTCCCAGCGGTAAAGCCATTCTGAGCGTTCCCCTTCGCTTCAATAAGTAACTTAGCCAGGCTCGCGTCATCGTATTGGGTTGTCAATTTTGCAAACAGTTTCTCGTACGGGTCTTCTTTTTCCAGCTTAAGGGTGAATCTGACCCAACTGTTCAACGCCGGATTTGTCAAAACACTGCTCTCATCCACGTTCAGCTTCAGCAATTTGAAAACATCATCACTGGTTTGGCCACTATTCAGCCAATTAACCAGCTGAAGATCTTGCCATTTCACAGCATACTGTCTGAACTTGTAATCGCTTCTTGCCGCTACTATTAGCTTAGCCAGAACTTCGTCGCTGTAATGAGTCTTCAATGACTTGAACATCAATTCAGACGCCTTATCTTTGTTGAGTTTTGTTACGTACAGTATCCAAGTGCTCACGAGCGAGTCTTCGAATAGTTTTTCTCCTTTCTCATGAAGTCTCAGTAGCTTGAAAACGTCGTCTGCACTTTGTTCTTTGATGTGCCAATTCGTAAGCTGAGCGTTGATAAACGTCGTTGCCGTAGCATGCGAAGTTTTCTTCGCCTCAGTTAGCATCTTCGCAACAGCGACGTCTCCGTAGTGAGCCGCCAGTGACGACACCATTGCCACTTCCGCTACTTCAAGCTTCTTCTTCGCAGATTTTGATAGAGAGGTTGACCACGCTATGAAGTGGTCGGTTTGAAGAAGTGCTGCCTCTGCACTGGTACCTTTGATCTGCTCGAGGAATTTCTTGGTGGCTTTTGCGCTGCTCGATTTCAATTGCGTAACCAGTTCCGCGATTGTAGAGGAACTCGTGCCAAGTCCTCGGTCGTCTGTCGTGACAGTTCTCAGACGTCGAATAGCTTGAAAGCTCTTGTCCGGGTTCGAATTCGGAGAGCCAATATCGGCGTTCACTGTCGCGTTGACAGATACTGCAAGGACATTGACTTGTGCAACGACAGCGACAACACTCAGCAGTACGATGCCGTACAGACACTTGTTTGAGGTGGTCTTGATACCCATGAAGGACTGCGAATTTGGTGGAGAAATGGGAAGTGATAGAAAACACCAGTAAGATTTTGGGACTCTATCTCCAGTAATTACCATATAACCATCACGTGATCAAGATGTACTTCACATCACGAGATTTGGATTTGCAGTCAAATCCTACTACAGTAGTTGATGGCATCAACTTGATCAAATAAAGCATCCTTCCGTGGAAGCCACCCAGGCGTCCTTGTGATGGCCTACTTAGCTTTCCTTGCGAATTCTGTCCGGAAACATTGTGAATGATCTACGACGAAGTATGCAATGGTGCTGCTTCCTTACTTTTAAGCACAGCGACTTCGAAAAGAAAAATAGTTCCCACTCGTGCTGCTGTAAGGCTGCTAGGAAGCCTTGCCATCTATTAGGAAGATGATTTCGGGTACACATATAGTTTCACCTGCTACATATTATCGAAAATTGCTCCAAGCATACCAACTTCGCCAATTTACCATCGTTTTCTGTGAGATTGATAAGAACACTTAAAAGTTATTCTTTAGATTTAAAATCGTAGCATCGAGCATGCCGCCTCGATAATAGACAGAAGAGGGTAGTTAATTCAACATAAATAGAGGATTTCTGAACAAACCAAATACTGTAGCTAGAAAAGGGTCATATATACAGTTTTTATTAAGCAATTGACCAGTCGAAAGCCAGTGGGCAATCTTCCCGGTTATCTGTCTTCTGACAGTCTGAGCTTGTTTCCCGTGACCAGGCTCTTCGCTGCGTGTCTTAGGCCCGTTCTCAACCGAGGCGTCAGAGGGACGCATGCGTTGCATGCGTACCCTAAACATCGCAATTCAAAATACTTGACTATCATTGGCAGAATAATAGCTAGTCATGTTGTGTTCTAGCAGTTCTAGCCTGGCGCTAAACCGCTACCAAACTACTGGTAATTAACGAGCGCGGCGATGGAAAACCAGGATCCCCTCCTAGGAGAGAAGAATATTCCCATCGTTTCAGGAGCCTCCTCAGCAGATGCATGCACTTCCCCAGGTTCAGCAAACTGTCGCTCCCTCGGTGGGTTCTGATTCTTTGCATTGGAAGTTCTCTCCACCCGTAGCGAGGAATCTCGCTGACGAGCTCGGACGTCTTTCGCCACCGTCGCCACCTCTACCGATCTTATTCGAGGCTGAAGTACGCCATGCCTTTCGTGGTGGGGTTGAATGCCACGAAAAGGGCTATGGTCAAAGCACGCAGATTGAGCGACAAGGCGGGGACGCCCTGCTGGTAAAAGTGGTTTAATCGCGGAGGGGCATCTTGTGTGGGAGCCGTACGAAAAAAATCGGTGGACCTCAGGCTGCGGCGTTGGCGCGCAGCAGGGATGCATCGTCTCTCTCGCTCAGGTCCACTTGGAGATCTTTGGGGATACAGAGCCATTGTTGTTGCGATCTTTACTGTAAAACACTGCTACCTTGGAGGTTAAAGGGAGAGTAAAACTGTTTGGTTAGGGGAGGTCTTTGATTGGCTAAAACTCGAACAAAACGTGCTGCCTATGGGCCGATTGCACAGCCAATCAAGTCGCAAAGTGGTTGTTAAGCACGCATGCGTCCGAAAAACGCTTCGGTTGAGAACGGGCCTTAGACACGACGTCTATCTTCATCAGACTCGAACATTATGGATGATCAACCCTAATAATCCAGATATTCTTGAGCTCGAACAAAAAAAACTATAGAAAGTTAGTATATGCTCGTTCCATACTCCGGAGTAAGTGCACGGTTTTGTCTCTTACAACCCACTCACCAGCCAGTTTCCAAGCAGCCTCGGAGATCGGAACTAGATGATACTGTCGGCATGACTGCTACTGACTAGCGAGACTAACGGCGAATCATAACACATACACTTGCAATAACAAACGAACACTCATGCTACGTTCATTTTGCTTTAGGATAGATCCGACCTTACGTACCTTCTCGTTTCTGCCACAATAGCCGCTGGTCATAGGTCGAAACAAAGCGGTGATAGCTCACCACTTCGTTTCTTAGATCTCCCACTGGTATATGCACTCTGTTTACCCAAGCGACGTCGTCCTCATCACACACCATCATTCGTAACACAGAAAACGGCGGAAAAGCGACTCATAAAATGAAATGCGCGGCGGATACTCTTGAAAATTCAAAACCGTCCACGCTGGCGATTGCCGTCAACGGCAATGAACCAACACCGTCGCACGTTTACACGAAGTACATCTCGCCCTTCATGGATTGGTGCAAGTCGTACATACGCGTGTCCGTTTCCGGTGCAGTCTCACTGAAGCCCGAGACAGTTGAGGCAGTGTCACTACCTTCCGCCAGGAAGAACCGCGCACGGAACGCCACGAGATGCGAATAGTAGGCCGACGGCACCATGGAGACGGAGCGAGTGCATCGCGCAAACGTGTAACACAGTTTGTAAGTGAGCGTCTGCAATTCATCCGCCGTAAAGCCGATCTCATTCAGCAGCACGTGGTAGTGCGTGGGGCGACTGGTGCCTTGCAGTCCAGCGTGGCTCATCAAGTAAAAATCGTTCTCAATCGGGTGACAGATAGCAGTGTCGACAACAGTTCCCGCCTTGACATTGCCACTGCGATCAGCATCTCTCGGAGTGTCAGGGAACAGACGGGTATTGTGGCGCTTCTGGACAATAACGAACGTGATCGGGGGTAGATAACCGACCTCCAGCGTCTGGCAAGCTTCACGGATGGCCGTGACTTCGTAATTCAGCACCATGTGGAACTGTCCTTCACTCACTCCATCGCGATAGAAGACAATGCGGTCCGGTTTGCCACGCGTCTGGCGGTAGAACTGCTTCATCAGTTCCACTACCATATCTTTAAGGTTCATAATCTGCTCGACACGGTGGCCTTGTGCACGGATCGCCGATGCATGTCGGATGAAATTCGGGTCCATAGACGCCGTAACAGCAGCGACAGAGGGGCGACTCTTGTCCATGGGACTTGGGTGCGTGACATCGGCACCAAAGATAATGGTACGCGACGCCGATACACGCGGCAATGGGCCACTGATAATGCCATTTTTCCCACCCAACTTGGTGTTCACCTTCATCAGAATATTGGCGATATACTGAGGGTTGCACTTCTGGATATGCTTCGACAGCATGCACTGTGACAGAATACCCATACCAGCTTCACTGTCGGACATCAGCTTCAACTCTCCATAAGCGTGTGCATCCATTCTCGGATTGATCATCCAGATGATCTGCGCCGGGGTCTTGAACGTCTGGTTGGCAGCATTCACTGCGGCCTGGAACATTCCACGCACTGAGTCCTCTCGGCGCTGCTTCAACAGGATCGGAGGCAATTTAGGCGGACATCGCATGCCCAACTGACCCATCTGTGTCATCACAGCCTTGAAGAATTTCTCAATACTGGCCTGGTTACAGTATCTCGCGTCTGCCATACTGATAACAGCCCACGACTTGAGTTGAGCCGGCGTATTAAACTTTTTGCCGCGCATGTTCCACGCTCCGTCACGTGGAGTTTCAGTAGCTCGTCCACTGTACTCGATCGTAGGCGGTGGCAACTGACGACCGGTAGTCTCCACCATACGAGGCTCCACATCCAGTCCAAAGGCTCTGAGCGTCGGGTCCGTGCTGAATCCTGCCTCACGGAACTTCTGCTCGATCGAGCGCTTGCGCTGATCCGGCGGCGTGCACGTAAACTTGATCATATTGGCCACCTGGTTGTCCGTTACCTTACGAGGACATTTCTGTCCCGCCATGATGTGGCAAACCTCCATGGGCAGATAATTCTTGTTCTGTGGGGCGCCAACATGGAGACACGGCAGCTTCGGATGGCGCAGACGCAGGTTGTACGTCTTTTGGAAGTACTGCACAATAGACATGCGTTGTCCCTCGTCGTTCTCAAAGAACGTTTGCTCTGCGCTGTTCTTGGTGAGCCCGTTAACGCGGTAGCTGCGTCGCACTCCTGGGCGATGAGTGATGTTCACTTTGACTCCACGAATGGCTTTACTGAACGCAGAGTGTTGGTGTTTAGCCAGTGAAGGTGGCAGGTTTCTCAAGGACAGAGACTCACAGAGGAAATCCAGTACGTCCATCTCCTTTACGAAGGCGGTGGCTGCCAAGTCCAAGTTGACCACAAGTCGATTCTGCGTGGCTCTCAAGCTCTGGAAGTAGCCGAACCAGAGCTCAGCTCCTTCTCCGAGAGATTTGGCGCCATTGCCACTGAACAAGTTTCGTCCAACTACAGTGAATCTCTGCGATGCTGAGTGACGCAGAGCCACGTCCAGCGCTTGCAGTGCGTCGTACGGCGTGTAGTTCAAGCGTCCAGCAAAGAGCTCGTCCAGTTGCTGCATGCGGATAGCCACAGGGTCGGCTTCCCTCACAGTGGCCGAGAACTCCCTGGCTCTGCCTCCATCATCAGGTAGTGTAAGACCACTGAACTCCTGGAGCTGGAACGGCAGCCGACGAGGAGCGTATATGTTCTTACGGGCGTCAGAGACAACCATAAAGTCTGGGAATTGGCGCTTGAGCTCGGCTAAGAGCGCGGCCATGATCTTGTTGGCTAGCGTCTTAGGTGGGCCGTCGTTGCCGAAGCTCCGGCCGCTCTCGGCCATCATAACGTCGTAGTGAAACACGTCGCCAGCCAACTTGAAGTTGACCTTGAAGTGGTTAGCGTGCAGTTTTACAGCTCTTCCAGCCGTGCCGAAGCCCGGGCGAGGGGGGAAATGCGTGTTTACGAGTGGCTGCAACAGGCGAGGCTCATCCGGAATGCGCGCTTTCTCCTCCAGCTCCAGAGCGAGCGACGAGACGCTGGGGGTTGCAGCCGACGCTGCAGCTGGCGCCGGTGGCGGCGCGACGGCGCGTGAGGTTGGCGGAGGACCAGGAGCGGGGACAGCAGTAGCGGGGCCGCCGCGTTCGCGGCCTCTGGCGCCGCCCTGGCCACGGCTTCGACGCGGACGGCCGATAACGGGCTCGGAATCTTGCTGCTTGTTGCGCCGTCCCGGCATTTTGAAGAATGAGATGCGGAGCGACAGGGAGGGATTTTCCCTCTCAAAACGGATTCGCGCTACTTCACAAGATTGCAGCTTAAAAGCTTAGAACTATTAGACTAAATTGCTGAAGGCTCTGCATTATATTTCCCCCCTGCAAGATACTTTGGGTTGACGGTGGGAAAGATCTGAAAGACAAACGAGCCGCTGGTCAGAACGCGGCTGTTTGCTTTTTTGTTTTCAGCCAGGCTAATCACTTGTAGCTGATTTGGCACGACTGAAGAGCTTTTGTGGTGCCCTGGCTGCATCTTTCCCAACACTGCGTCGGGTCTGTCTGATTTTTCAATCATCGGCTGGGAACGGGATAATATCTCCAATCTCTAACCGGTTTCTCCCTAGAAGAATTTCTACAAGCGAAGCAGTTCCGACAAGTGTCGACACTAAGTAGTTAAAAAAGACTAGATTGTCTATGGTAATATGGATACATTCATTTATACTTACTTATATTAAACTAAAGACAATCATCATCCCTCCATTGACTTGCCTCCTGCTCCCTCTAATAAGCAAATATAGGGGGAAACGGACAAAAATCCTCAGTTAATGAGGCCTGCTAATAATAGAACCCAGCTCTGATTACGGGTGTGCTCGTTTCGAGTTAGACAATTTGTCGTTCTTGTCGCCGAACCGATCGAAGCGAAAACAAGATTAACGCGTCCTGCTGTAGGGGGGAAGGGCTACAATGTGAAATAGTAGAAATATTATACAAAGTCGTGCTGCGCCCGAAGAACCACTGAAATTTGGTCAATCTTGCTGTATAAAAAGATGAAAGTAGATTTTTTTATAGTCCTGTCTAAAACGAAGTTGTCTTGCCGGCAGAATACAAATGCCTTCTTATAACCTTCGAATGATGATGTAAGTTCCCGGAGGATAGATTATCTAACTGTCTGTCGTCCAGGTCGACTCCTATTGTATTACATAATGCGGGAGAACTTGACTAGGTAAAAAAATACAGTTGCACTCAAATAACCAAAGCGAATGCTTAGAGGTTGTAGTGCTCGTTGTTGCTATTAAGCGGCACAAGAGTGCTAACTCAAACGCATGCTGCGTGAGCTTTCGACTTCTTTATTTTACCCTTTCGAATACGATAACAATAGTGCTAGCAACGCTACAATCACGGACGCACTGAGAAAAAAACGATTACTTTTTCTCAGTGGCGCATCGACGCCAACTACGAACTACTAATGATCCTATGTGGAGGGAGGCTATCGACCGCGGGTCCACTGAGGTCGAAGTCCTCTACGATGCGGTCGTGACGACAATACATTTTATTTCACACAAGCTGCAGTTTCGGCTAATCATTCGAAAATTCATATCTGTTAACACACGAAATAACATAATGATATTTCTCCATGCAGTAACAAGGCTTACTTCATCAAGTGCTGCTGCGGTAAGTGTAAGTAATCTCCGTTTTTATTTATGTATTCTTGGGCGACCGTTTACGTGTTTCTATTATCGCTTTTGCCTCAACTCGCCTCCTTTTGTAGATCTTATAAAAGAGCAGACAACACCGTATCCATACTAGTCGTTGGTGAACGAAGCGCTTGAATGCGGTATTGATGTAGTATATGCCATTTTTTCTTCACACGACACAGGGGTCATAAGAGCTCTTGGAACTAGAATACTTTGGTTGCCGCGACGTTGTTAAATTCCATTTTTATGTGATTACGGTATCTGTTCGTAGTAATCGATTTCTTGCTGATTTGCGTGTGTGTGTGAAGACTCTTCACTGAAGGGGGGGGGGGCAAAAGATATACTTACTGCGCTTTGTGCGTGAGACTCGAGCAGATTACGAACATCGTGATAGTGCACATTTATAGGAATAACTAGGGCTGTGCGAGGGCTGGGATAGCCAACAGTTATTAAAGAGGCTAAAGGTCGCGAACAGCTCATACCGGTAAAGGTATATGAAACGGCGGCTACCAGCTTCAGTTTTTCGGCTTCAGTTACCGTCGAGCGAATTAACCTGATTTGGGCTGTCCCAGCAGCACAGAGTTACTGCTATCCCAGAATGAATACTGGTAAGCAAGAAGAGCCGGTCCAGAGTAAATTATGGGCCGGTCTACTATTTCATTTGATATGACTTAATCTTTTCTCCGACGGTCTTCATTGGTTGCGACTAGGTTTTGGCACAATGATTTTTCGCACGAAGCGTGCACAGTGAGTGGATAGGCATAAATTTTACAATAAGTCGTCAAGCACGTGATCGAAGGTCGAGCCCAATCACACGCTTTCTACGTGACGCACAGTAGGAGAATATTTGCAAAAATAAGTCTAATCTCAGTTCCAACTGCTACAGTTAAGGACGACGAAGCTGTTGGTCAGCGGTTTGGCGAATCTGACGAATGGTTTGGTCCTGTCGAAATTGAAATCCGGCGGGTCAAAACGGCGAACCTGCTGAACAGGCTCAAGAGATCGTGCTTAAATACGCGTTCTCAAAACTTGCTAATCGTGTTGGGTTTCTGGGGTTGCAACCCCAGTGTCGTGACCTAAAGTGTCGGATTTGACCTATTTTATTGGTTACCGAAAACGTAAATGATCTATTCCAAAATAATAACTGACATGGAGAAGTTCTTGTAACTTAAGACGGAGATCCTCCAGCGAATGGTGACCGAGATTCGAATCTACCACCCCAATGCCGGCATCAGCGCAGCAACGAAAGCTTCTACAAGAGGAGCACAGCCAAACGGAGTAATTAGTAAGAAGGCGAAGCAAGGCTGAGAAACACTAGCAAGTACTGATAAAATATTGTCTATCATTTCTAAAGTATCTGAACTCATGTTGAAGTCTCCCATGTTCAACCGGAGTCATGGAAGACTTGGCACTTCGTCACAGTATAGCTCGTAGCGCCCTACGAAAGATCTATCACTTGTCATTTGGCGAGATGCCTCGCAAGCGCAAAAAAAAAAACAAAAAACCACAGCAACAACTACACAGTATGTGTACCAGTGCCTCAGTCGCAAGTTGAATCAAGTCTGTGGTCTGGATTTCCTGCGCAAAGAGCTCTAGCGAACGACCATCGTTCTCCGCCAGGTGGGGCTCATTGGATGGAAGGTCGGGGGAATGTATATCCTCCGCAGCCTTGACCAGGGCAAACCGCTTCCCGAACTCAACGCAATGTTTTTCTACCGATGCTGTGCTGCTTCCCTGGGCTCGACTGAGAAACGAGATCGGTACAAGACGAACCCCAAATACCCCGACCTCCACAAGACTTTCTTAATGTACTGGGAACTTCGACAACAGCTTCGAGCCCACGTGGCACCGTCGCTGGGGTATTGCGGTGCCATGATAAACGAAATGATCACGAAAATGGCGGTTAATACTGCCAACATGTTGGCTCGACACTTCCGTCGGCGACTGTACCAATACGTTAGATTACGGTACGCGAAAGAAGGAAAGATTCAGCTGAGCTTCTACAAAACCAAGAAACTTATTGATAGCTGCTATCGTGTCCAAGAAGTTCAGGAGTTTGACACAAATGGCAATTTAACAGCTACTATGAAAATGTGGGGTGCTTGGGATAAATGGCGAACTTCAGAAGAGCGCGAGTTACGTGAGTGGCTCGGTATGGCGCCTTGGCATTGGACAATTCGTGAGAATCTAGGTTACTTTGTGACGAAGGTGTACGACATGCTTTTGTGGATGGAGGATTTGTGGAGAAACACCCAAAGACAAGAGGGGCGCATCTCTACTCGTTACTACCACAATCGAGCTCTTTCATACCATCTCACGTTACACTGAACGCGACGACTTTGTACGAGCTCTTTTGTCGCATTTACGATAATCCGGTGGCGAAAAAAAGTCGTGAATGGCGATCTGGGACTGGAATGCAGAACTAAGGCAGCTCGTGCTACCTGGACACTAAATCGCGAAGTTATTATCCGCTAGCTTTTCAACGTAACCGAGTTGGAGACCAGAACCCGCAAGTTCGGTAACCGAGACACGACGGATGGCTATGCAGCTTCGGTACTACTCGAGCGCGAAATGCCTACCACAGAACCCACAGACACCAATACGGCTCCAAGGAAAAGGAGGAAGACTAGCAAAAATCGATTAACGAATGTTGTGGAGAAAGATGCCTTGGATTTGGCACGTGACAAGTTACCGGAAGGCTACACACCAGACATTTTCATTGGGATCGATCCTGACGTTAGAATACTGGTCACGGCTGCGTCGACTGGATATCTTCCACAGCAACGGCAAGGCCGACAGTGCAAACACCGCCACAGACGTCGTCGCTTTCGCAAAAAAGATTCGAGGAAGTGCATTGCGAAGAACCAACACGGACACGGTCAGCGAGTTATCGGCGTCAGCACAGCTGAGTACTATCACCTGGCCAAGCTCAATAAGAAGCGCGTATGGGACCTCAACTTGAGGAAGACAGAACCTGCGTACGTTTTGATATTGAAGGAAATGCCAAGTTTTAATACTTCTCAGCTGACAACATTCATGGATCGACTCCAGTACTTTGTGAAGCACGTGGGCTTTCTCGTCTCGTATTCGACCAAAACTTCGTTTCGAAAGTGGAGATTCTTAACCACAAGTTCGAAGATGCGGGCGTTGACTGCGATTACCAAGCGACTTGTTCCGATCCGGAGTGCGCAGGTCTGCATCGCATTTGGTGATTGGAGCTGCCAGGACGGTCTCTGTGGAAACCCTAGCGCTCCAGTACAGGCACTCAAGAAAGAACTGGAACAGTGAGCGACAGTTTGCCCATGGACGAGTTTCGCACCTGTAAGCTGTGCTCCGGCTGCCACAAGCACCTCCTTTCAGCTCGGCTATTGACAAAGGTGAAAGACCGATAGACCGAGAAGATCTCGATTGTCTTGGAGACGTCTTGTGCTTCAAGAACAGTCGATGCAAGGCACACTTCTGGAATCGAGACGTTAATGCAGCGAGAAATATACTAGAGTTACTCAAGTGCAGGCTTTCAGGCCTGGGGAGACTGGCAGCTTTCGAGCGGTGACTGCGAGACCAAGATCGTGATTGGAAAGTCCATTTCTTAGAAACATGCTGCACTCGAAGGGTGTGGGCTTTTTGTCTGGGGACATGGGGGAGCATCCACTCACACGGTGTGGAGGCGCACAACTGCTTCGACACAAGAATCCGATACAAGATAGCGATTACGTACCACGAGTTGTATGTAGCCAGCTTGTAACTTAATGGTTAAATCATAGACCCCGAATGTCTGCGAATTCGACACACCTGCACTGTAATTTGCAAAGCTGATGTAAAACAGCATTTAAATGGCCCAGAGGCTTCCTGCTGTAGTTTATGTGCAAATACAAGCACATTCTTCAAGGGCCGGATCATGGTGATCCCGTAGAATCCGGGTAGCAGCCAAACGTGACCCTCATGTTCTCCACAACCGATAGCCTTGTCATTACAACAGTCGGTCATCTAGATAAAAACGGTAAATATCAGCCATCCCTCCTGTATAAATGGTTGATTGAGACCTCTCGATATATCAAGTATACTCGATACTAATCTCCCTGGTTCTCGAAGATCTCGGAGGAGCTTGAGAACGTTTGGTATATCGGTGAAAGCATCTACAGAAGACGACAATTTTGAAGACAGGGCGTTTGGTTCGGCACAGATTAATGAGGTACTTAAGACAGGGACAAAGAATCTAAAGAAGGTCGCGGCTAGCGCAAGGCTCATGTTTACAAAGGCATGTGATGAAGCAGAGGAAGCTTAGTACTTAGAAGTAAAATTGAAAAGTGAATTGTTTTCTTGTTAACTACTCTATTGTAGCTAAGCGTCACACGGATGACCTTGTCGTGGTCGTAAACATGTACGTGAACATGTATGACCTCGACAAGTCCGTTAACGTAAAAGTAAACCTCGAGGTCAAACTAACGGAGTAATCCGTTACAGGACAACCAACCGGCGACAGACAAGCTGTTCACGAGGTTTAAAGTTAATACGGCACAAGAGAATCTCTTTGCGACTAAAAGAGTTCGGGAAGTGGTCGACCGGAGTGGTCAAAAACTTCAAAAAGAACTAAGAAGCGGCGGATGTTGCCGTGATATCAACGCTGATGAGTCGTTTGGATGATGATGTGTTGTTGGCAAATAATCTGATGCTGGCGAGGCGAACGCAGGCACGGAGAGTATTGCTACGAGGCTTGAAGAGGCTCAGCATACGTATTGGTTGCTTCATAAAAAACAGCGCGGATGACGTTATCAAGCTGCTTAATCTGAATAAGGAAGGCGACAACGTGCTCTGAATCTCTTTGTGGAGCATTGGCTGCATACATAAAGAAGGTAAACGACCAGAACCCAGACGAAGCGATATTCTCTGTGTTGAAGACACACTATGACAGTGACGAAATACTAGCAAAGACTCTCGTTGGGGCTAAGATGGACTACAGAATGGTTACAACCGCTGCGAAATTGGAGAACATGCAACTCTCGAGATGGCGGAATGATGATAGAACCACGGAAACTGTCTTCAACCTGCTGCGGTTAAACCAGGAAGGAGGCGGGTTATTGATAAGCAGGTTGCTAGACACGTAGATATCTTACGCAACTTTGATGAAGGAAGACCCGAACAAAATCTTGCTGGTAAAATTGGCGACTCGCTACCAAGACGAGAAATCGCTAACGCAGATGCTAACTTCCAACGCAGAAGAATATCAATACTCGATCAACTGCCTATAATTTATTGCAAGCACAGATGGATCAGTGGAAAATCAGTCGCAAGACAGCTGAGGAAGTTGCTACGCTCCTAAAACTGACTGAAGATGGCAGCAACTTCCTGAACAGCCCCGTCTTGAAAGCTTGGGTATCTTTGGTAGAGAAGTTGAAGGAGGACCCGTACGAGTTAATGTTTTCCAAGCTGATGAAGTTTTATAATGCTCATAAACTGGCCCTACTTCTACGCTGGTCATCGGTGCTTGACATAACGGGAACAACGAGTAAGCTCGAGGAGTTTCAATGTAAATTTTGGAAGGAAAGCGGCAAAAGCGCTGATGATATTTTCGAACGTTTGCG